TAAGGCGGTCTTAATCAGGCAATTTTTCTCTGTCCAAACATGTCAGGGACAGGGAATGATAATGCTTCATTTTACATTGAATATAGAGGCCGACCTTATTTTAATTAGCATTCGATAGAGGTTAAAATAGGATGCATGCAACTACCCATCAGGTGTCACTAGGCTTCCATCCTTATTCCTGCATTACTTTCATCCTTCTCTCTATTTCTTGCCTTGCCAGAGCGCCCATTTCCTGCTTCGTCAGCTCGAATCAGAGTGGTGCGATACCGAGCTCGAGTTCACGAGGGAATGTGGCCTCTGGGGTCCCGACCAAGACCCTCTAGATGCCTCGGGCTTACAAGCTTTGGCTCGCTGGGAGCTTAGTCCCACCGAAGGACCCTTTCGGATCCGAAAACGGATGCTGCCGAACCGCAATTTCTACTCTCGTTACGCATACCGAAGCAATCTCGTATTGGCTAATCAGGCAAAAATGAACTTGCATGGCCAGAAGCAGGTTAGCCTCCTTCTTCGCACATTTACCCTTTTTTTTATATATTTTGTTTCGCCAGTATTATAACCTTTTTAGGTCGCTTAAGGGGATTTAAGAAGTGGAGGCGAAATTTGACTAGAAATTCTTGTGCTACTTTATATAAAGTATTCTTTCCCTTGATAATACATTTTACTCAATGACATATTTAATTTTTAGTTAGCATTCGAACAAACGTTATTTAAAATCAAGGCCTTGAAGTGAGTTCGCTAGAGCGAATCGTTAGCTTCGGTCTTTTGATCCTCAATAGATTATCCTTCTGTCTTGATAAATCCATATTCCATCTGTATATTATCATATTACGACAGCCATGACGACCACCTTTGCATAAACTTCAAAGATAATCTCATTTGTTTCGTGTAACTTTCTAAAATCGACCACAACTTCTCGCCTCAGTGATGTACTCTGATTTATTAGCGTAAGTTAAACTTAAATTTGTCTGCTCCTGGAGGGCACACCGAGACATAATCTTGCCATAGCTTGGCCTTCTTTGGTGCGAATATATTTTTATTTATATGAGATCTATCCACTCTATTTCATTTAAGGTTATAAAGGGCTGGTAATAGAATTTTCCCACAATAATATGAGTAGAGTAGTCTCTAAACTCTCTCTCTATATATATATTTATTTATATTTATATTTATATACTTGCTGAACGAAACTGTCTATTATGGTTGCTCAAATATAATTCTTCACTTTTCCATAGGCTACTTTGTCTTATTTAGACATTTTGACTGCTTGGCATGCAACTTTACTTTTAAGTAATCGTTACTTTTCTAAGACAAAATTAAGCCTTTTCGACATTTCTTATGCATCAGTCTGCTTACTAATTTATCTAATCCTGACTTCCTGAAACCCGACTTTTGTGTCTATTACGTGGGCGATAGCTTTCCTACGCATCGATCTCGACTGCGTCTGGTTATCTATTTTGTTATCTGGTCGTTTATAAATTTGGTATTCGCTAATTTATGCTTTTCGAGGGCTAAAAGTAAGACTCACAAGCAGTTGCAGGGGATGCGTTTGTAATACCATTAGACTAAATGTTCATTTTCTTTGTTTTTCGTCCCCATAGGTGATGCGTCAGTCCCTGAACTTTCCCTCTATTTTAAAAGCGAAATTATGAGCAAACCTTCCAGCCTTAGTATTTTTATAGGTTTATGAGAACCACTTATCCGTCATGTATCAGCGGAGACTTTCATCTTCCTTGATTCGCACATACACTTAAAGGTCTGTCCGAGTAGCAAATCTTCATCACTTATTCAATAATTCTGTTTCAATAGTAACTGAGCTACATGTCGCTTGCTCCTTTTGGCTATTACTGTTGATATGTCTTAAATGTATCTTAAAGCA